AACCTTTTTACTGTGGTTTAACACATTTTCCATAAAAACCTTTCAAAAAGTTTACTTTTTGACAAAAAACTGTCTTAACATGACAACAGTACGACGTTATGATTTATTATTCCATCCTTTTAATTTCTGTCTCAAGCATCTGATTCTTGCCATATTTTTATGATCCAATTTTGGGGTTATATCAGACTTTTATGATATTCATAAAAATGAGGACTCCCATTAACTTTTATTACTTCCTTTAATACTGACTAAGTCATTATTCATTTGACAGGGAGCCATAAATCACTGGTTTTGACATAAGAAGTCTAATATCACCGTCTCGCCTGGATGAGCTCAAGAAATTCAGATGCAACAAACAGATCCGACCTGACAAAATCGACACAGGCAGCTTTTGTCGACCCCTCTGGTTGAAGGACTGATCTGTGTCGTAGGTACGTTAGCATCCCTACTTAGCTGAGCTGGGCGAGGATGGTCATTTCCAGCAGACCCCTGGTTTTTTTCTAATCGTTCAGCCCCAGTTTGAACCATCACAGAAAACACCACACCTCTCTGTTCCACGTTTATTTGGCATCCAACAAAATCCAATAAAAGCTTTAAGAATTAACATGTTTCACCATCACCAAAAACAACATTTCTCCCAATAAAAATGTAAAACTAGAAGGTCCAAAATCATAAAAAGCAAGCGTTACGGCTCGGGGTGTAAGTACATGATGCAAGCAGCTCGAGACAGGCAAGTTGGAAAAAGGCAGAAATCTAATCCTACTGATAGTAAAGCACAACACAGATTAAAGATCCACACTGAAGAAACTCAAGCAGAGGTTTTCCCTTCAGCTGACTCACAGCCACCTGAAACGAACACGACGGTGTTTCAGCTGGAACCACAAAAAACAGAAAAGACCTCCTGAGAAAACAATTCTACTTCATCTTTTATTGGGTGAAATCTAACAGCACTCCAGAGTCACGTTTGTTCTTTTTAACAACCAAAGCCAAGTTTGATTATTTCGTTTCCACCGTGCTTGCAGTTGGACTGAAATCGAGTCTTTTAAACCCCCGTTTCACTCCGTCCTCCCTCACAGTGTTACCCACTGGCTGCTCAGGATGATAATGCCAAAAGTTGAGAGAAAACGCGTAGCCGTGTAAGCCGTCTAACCGTCCGCCGAGCTTCAGCCACAGTAAAGTCCCAGCCGGTGTGTCAGCTGCGTGCTCCGGAGGAAAACAGCTCACCTCTCGCTTCATCTCGCCCTCTGCTGGGCTCTGACGGCCACAAAAAGATGCAGTGATGTTTATAGGTACAACTTGACAGTCAGCTATGTAGGTGAGAGAGGGAAGGTGTTTTCAAGTTGAGGGTGAGGTGGCTTTTGCCTTCCTTCCCTCCTTCCTCTCCTGGTGCCACCATGCCCACTCAGACCCCAAAAAGGAAGGCCGGTCAGCAGGCGCACCAAGTGCCGTGTTAGCCCAATCACCCATTGTTGGGGGGAGTGTGGTTGCAGCAATGCTACGAGGTTGCTGCCCCAGTTTGGGTACCCAGGGGTGTGGGAGGGTGGACTAAGCATCCACGTCCCAGATTCTTCCCCTAGAGTGGCCTGGTGCTGCTGTTTTGACACCCAAGTCCCGCTGGACTCTGGTGGATCTCCAAGCCTTCGCTGGACCAGACATGAAGCAGCAGAGCGTTCACACCCATGCAGTCCAGCCCTCATACAGCTGGGCCAAGTTATCCATGTTGGTAGCCTCCTTGATAACAAAGTCCACCTGCAACCAAACCAGATGTGGTCAGTTTTAAACACAGACAACGTTACGATATCTGACCTGACATGACGATCATAATCTGCTCTGATCTTTGCTGTGCTCAGACTCATGCAGACGCTGCTGCTGCTGCTGCATTAAAAGGCGTCAGAGATCTGATGAATCCACGTGACTCACAGCAGCTACTTCACCCTGTGTCTGCACGTTTCGTTTGTTTTAAACAACCTCTTCATCCTGTCACGACTTCGACGTCCCTATTTCTCCTGGTGGTTACAAAATGATGTGCTACCTGCTCGGAGACACTCATCCTCCGGTTGGGGTCGATGTCTCGGCCCTCCAGTTTGGCTTTCACTCTCTTCCACACGCTGACCGCGTAGGAGTTCCTCTCTTGGACCGCTGCAACAGAACAGAGTGTTCAGATGACGTCTCTAATGTTCATGTTTGTTCTGTACAGGAACCTGTGCAGACACTGGGATACAATTTCATTTGCTAAAGGTAGGCATGCACCAAGCCTACAACTCCTGCTGAACTGTACTGAGCCTGTAATCCTCACTCTGACCTCAGCTGCATACATATTACAGATTTGAGAAACCTGCTGGAGTTCCCAAAGACTGTGAGGAGAGTGAAGAGTACCTCGTCCTGTTTTGGGGTCTCGTACAGCCCTCTTGGGGCTGGAGTTGAGACCTTTGCTGCTCACTAGAGTACTGGGCGGGGTATCGGTCGGGGTCCCCAGGTTGCGTGGGAGAGCCTTGCGTGCATTCTGGGACATCGAGTCTGGCTGGGTCTTCACGCCACTGCATCTGACAGCTGAATGAAAAACACAACAATGTGTGTGCGTGCCACATGTTCACTCGACAGGACGCACACTGACACCAGTGAAAACACAAAAAGCATGCTACAACACCGGGAGGCCGTACCTGCTGCAAAGCTCGACTGTGCTGCAGAAACAGGACTGGAGCACTCTGCGTCTCTGTCGGTCACCAGTGGGGAGGCGAAGCCCACCAGGCCGTTATAGACGCTGTTGGAATAAACGGATGCGTGCATTAATAACGATGATTAATAATAATTAATACGATTTTTATGTGAAAATTAAAAAGATCAGTCAGTGTGTGACCTCTGACCTCTGGCTCTGTGAGTGCAGCTCCTTCAGAGTACTGGGGATTTCTTCCAGTAGTTCGAGCTGCTCCTGGCTCAGGTGCTGCCCACTGGCCTGGACAACAGTGAACAGCACTAACTGGATGTTGTCTTGCCAAGCTTTGTACTCCAACAGGAAGTGACGCACGCTGCCCTCGTATGTCACCTCTTCACCGTCCGCCAGCGCCGCCTCCTCATCCTGTACGACATAAGAACAGTGACGACTGCAGGTTCACAGCAGGATGCAGCAACGTGCAACACACGTTTTTAAACCTTTGTGCTCGCTCATCTTCTACACTTATTCAAACGGCAAACACATAATAGTGGTGAAAGCAGCTGTGTGTGTGCCTCAGGTGTACCTTGGCCATGGCCCTCAGCAGGTGCTTGACGTCAGCTAAGTGGCGGTTGTGATTCGAGAGAATCGTTTTGATCGAGTCCACCAGCAGCTGCAGTGTTTCTCCACAGGTCTCCAGCTGCTGCTCACGTTCCTCCTGGTTCCTCTGCTCCATGTTTAGCTCCTCCTCCAGCTGCCTCTGGGCACAGCTCAGCCACTCCACACTGCCTATAGGCAGG